AATGAAATTTCTTAAGTATGAACTGAATTACTTTGTGTGGCCGAAGTCTGAGGATGTGGCTATTGTGAGCCAACAATATATATTTTACGGACCTATAGATTTAATTGGAAGTGGTCCTTTCCAGTTAAAACGGAACGATTTTTTAAAAATCTCTAAAATGTATAAAACCATGAAAAGACCTTTATTTTATGACTAGTTTTTTTAATATATTTTATTTTGAGAAAGATATGTTTTTGTTATTTTATTCTTAATTTTATTAATTTATTTTTATTTAATAAAAATTACTCATTAAGTTTTTTGTATTTGTCACCTATTTTTTTATAAAAAGAAAGTAATTCAATGCTAGTTGCAAGCTATATCATAGCTAGATATTTTCAATCTCGATTTCAATTTATAAACAAGTAACGGGTGATTCATTTAGACCTTTTTTTTTAAATTCTAAATAAAATGCATTAAATGGAATTGGATGGCGGAATCTTTATTATGACCTGAAAGAACAATCTTTGACATTTATTTTTTGAAAATAATTTCATTTAAATGCTGTCCGGGACTACGGCGTACGTGGTCCTTTCGGAAGATTCAATTTTCGATCACTCTTTCTAGCATTGCGACCGGTATCTGCCCAATGAGGCGAGTAATGTTGGCTTCTTAGTCCTGAATCGTAGCTGGATTATAGACGAAGACTTTTGATTTAACAAGACGGAGCTGCGGCACACACAGCCCGCGAAACAATAGCTTTATTGAGAAATCATTACTCGAGTAATTGGGCAGATACCGGTCGCAATGCTAGAAAGAGTGGAAAATTGGACCTTCCGAATGGACCACGCTGTACGCGGCCAGCATTTAAATGAAATTATTTAAAAAAAAATAAATGTCAAAGATCGTTCTTTTAGGTCATAATAAAGATTCCGCCATCCAACTCTATTTTATGCGTTTTATATAGAATTAAAAAAAAAAAGGTCTAAATGAATCACCCTTTATCTATTGGAGCAAGAACAAATTTTGAGGAATTGCAGGAAGTAAGATCAGAAGGACGAAAAGTACAAGGAAGTACTAGGAAGTATGAGGAAGTAGTGGGAAGTATGAGGAAGTACTGGAAAGTATGAGGAAGTATGGCGAATTACTGGGAAGTACGAAATTTTTTGGGAAGTACGAAAAATTTCTGGGAAGTACGAGGAAGTATTGATGTTTAGAGGAAGTAGTGTACAAGATTTCTGGCAGCGGTTTACCCCTCGGTTTATTTATTATAGGTATTTTATACTAGTTAAATTTACTGATTAGTCTTTCTTTTATTTTTCATGTACGTTAAATGTATTTGATGTGAGCTTTGATGGAGTTAGTTATGGTGTATCTGAGCAGGGACGGACTTAGGCCGAAGGACAGTTGTGAACAGGGGCGTACTCAACTTAAAAGAATAACAGGGATGTTAAAAGTTTGACAAGCTGTCCAACGTCATTTGCCAACCTTTTAAAGGGGCGTCTGTAATGGTTCAGTACTTTAATACGTTTTACAAATTTATTTTTGAATTAGTTTGGAATTTTAAATTGTGTTGTAAAATGTAAAAATCGTTGCAACTTAGGTAAAAAAACGGTTAGGTAAAGAAATTACAAAGTTTCGTGAAAGACCGGAATTTTGCCTGAAATGGGAAAAAATCTGTTGGCCAGATGAGGCGAAAACAACATCGAAACTGGGAGAGGGAAGCAAAGAAAGAGGCAGAAAGTTTTCCGAAGTGTGAGAGAACGCATCGTTTTCGTAAATCTTTGCTAAAACCACAATTATTGTAAAATTCTGTGTAAACAATTGTTACAAGTGTTTGTGTATTCTTCCAGGTTAGTTCTTAATTTGAGTAGCCCAATTCTGTAGTAAAGTCCACTAAACGTAGAACGATTTTGATTTAAATAAACTGAGCATTAGTTATTTTGCACTACTACGTTTAGTGAATTTTACTCGATATTAACACCTTTTGTTTTAGCTATTTTTATAGAATGTTTTTACCTTTTAAGTTTACTGCTAAATGTAAAAATTTATATTCCTTTCTTTTATTGTCTTAGGCTTAATTTAGTTGTATACTACTCAAATGTTTAGACCTTCCCTCAACACGATTATGGAATTTTTGCGGTAATTTTAAAACAAATATCAGTGTAATACAGGACGTTTCGTTGCTTAAAAGGGAGTATTGACCGTTAATTTTAAACTTTGAATGCTCCTTTTTCTTTAGTACGTAGTTTGCAGTAGATACTAAAATACTCTCCTCCGTGAGGGATAACTGGTCACCTAGGTTCTCTATGTGGCATCGCAACTTTTATCCCGAAACTGCATCTTTACGCGAGTTGTTTCCAGTGCGGACCTCATTCTCCCCAGGGCAACGTTAACGTTGACAGACTAACAGTTAACTGCCCTGTTAAACTAACAAAGTTTTTCCTATTTTTTTTGAACCCGTAGGGGTAGATAGTGTAACGAGCGTCGTGTCATTCCATTGATTTGCATAAACTTTTAAAGAAACAATGCCTAATCGTGTAATCCTTTGCTACTTCATAGTTTTTTCTCAATCTCTTTTTCCCTGGTCGTATCTCCCTAAGAGCCAGTTTTTTTTTAACTGTTTTTAAAGTAAATTAAATTGGGGTAAACAAAACACTGTATTTTATTTTTTTGTATACCTAATTTTCCCAAGTATGATTTTTAAAGCAATGTATTTAATAAAACAAGTAACAAGTAACCACAACGTAGAGATCCAAATTTTGATAAGACGATCACGAGCCATAGTCACAAAATAGTTCATTTATTAATTTTTTTATAAAACTTGTTTTAACGAACCTGGTGTAAGGAGAAATCTTTACAGTACCAAGAGGCTTTGTTACGATTTCGGTACTCAGGTGGCGTTGCTGGTTTCGTTTCCATACCCGGTGTTTCGGTTCTGCTTATAGTTTTGCTACTTTTGTTACCTAGTGTCGTTACTCTTCTGGTACTTGTTGGGAACGACTTTTAACGTTCTGTTTCTGATTATGTTTTAATCTTTTTATGTTACTCGGAACGATAACGCCAGAAACGGAGTTAGACGAGGTTTTGTTACAAGTCCCTGCTTATAACAGTTAACTTAAATTTATCACGCGTCGGGGTCCTGGGGCCCCTTATGGACAATTTATAAGGGCCCACCGGGAAACTCCCGGTCGCCCGGTGGGCCAGCACGCGCCTGCCCCCCCCAGGATCCACAAGCATTAGATACAATTCCACCCTTAAGTGACGACATGCGTAAAGTAATTGGTCTAAAACAGGAAATACAGATTCTATACACATTTCGCAAATTGTATAAAAAGTACGATTCATTTATCACTTAACACTAGTCCAGTTTAATAGTCGAAAATATCGAAGACACAGTCCAATAAAAATGCATTGCCTTTAAATATCATTAAATTTAACGCAAATATTTAGGTAACTTCCCTTAAAATTTTATTTGATTTCGATTGAATACAAAATGCAATGTAGACTACAATCCAAAATTTTTGAATAATTAATATGGAGAAAAACTACAGGAAAAGCAAAGGCTTTCGGTAAAAGAATTCGAAAAAGCTTTAAGCTTCCAAAGACTAGAGTGGGGGCAGAACCGAAAGATCAAAAAAAGTGAAAATGTAAATATATTTTAATAGGGTAGATCGCTGAGGAAGTATGGTGTACAACATGTGGGAAGTACAGGAAGTCTTTAAAGGTAGTACGGGAAGTAAGTGAAATTTTGAAAGGTAGTACAGGAAGTACGGAAATATAAGGGGAAGTACGAGTAAATATAAAGGAAGTACGGGGAAGTACAGGGAAGTACGAAGGAAGTATAGGGAAGTACGAAGGAAGTATAGGGAAGTAAGAAGGAAGTATAAGAAATAAAATATAATTAAAACGAATATTTAAATATCCCGCGCATTTTCCTAACCTAACCTAACCTAACCTAACCTAACTGCGATTCCTCAGAACCGAGTTCATAACACATCCAGCTGCCGGCAACACAACAAAGCAATACAAATATTTGGAAAAGTTGGAAATTTGTAAAAGTAAGTTTTTTATAATCATAATTGTCATATTTTTAACGCAAATTGAATTGAACAAAAATTCTCGATGTTAAACACTAGTGTATAACCTCGTGTAACCTACCGTTCTGAAATCGCCGGAAAGCGGCCATAAATACAATTTGGGTCTTTCTGTATTAACGTTCTTATGGAAAAAACAATAATTTTTTACGCTATTGGATTTCTAATAGTGTAAATTGGCCTAAATTGTATAGTTGTTACTATCAGTGTTATTGTTTTTAGGTTTTTAGTTTGTCGCACCTTTACTTATTCTGCTAAAGCACCCCTGTTAATGCTACTTTATTTAATTAATAACTAATTAAGGGCGAGTCAGATCAAAAAACGCCAAAGGAACTTTTGTTTTCTTTTTGGCTGTTTTATACGCCCTTGAAATATTTTACTCTTTTTTTAACATCTGATATACAGGGTGGTCCAGTTTATACCGTTAGGATATTACCAGCTGATAGTTTATCGAAAAATAAAGGTACCTTGTCCTATAAACTATTGTCCAATTTTGCTTCCTTTTTGATGTACAGGGTGTTAAAGTTTCCTAAAGAAAATAGTTTTTTATTAATATCCAAAAAACGCTTAGACCGATTTTCATAAAATTTTCACAGTTTGTTGACAACTTTATGATGTGCCTTTCGAACAGGTTTCGTAACAGTTGACCCAGTTATTCCAGAGGCGTGCTCACAGGGCACTTCGACAAGTTTTCGGGATAAAAAAATATCACTCAGTATATTTTTTTAATTTTTCATATTTTTTTCATACTTTTGGAAATAATTAAATTTTTAACTTACTTACTTTTACACAATTTTAATCTTTTAAACCACAAAAATATGGTTTTAAAATTCCATAATCTTTATCAGTTTTTTTGGCCACTTTTTTGCTATTTCGGAACACTGTGCGTTAGCAGCAAATTCTAGGCTATTTTTTACTTTTTTACAGATGGCTGACGGATTTATCAATTTTTTTGAATCATTTGAATCTAAATTAAATATTGTTATCCCGCAAACAGTCAAAAACATACTTATTATAAATGGATATGACAATAAAAGGCTTGTAGCAGAATTAAACGAGACGAAAATAAGCGAAATTGAAGATTTTGTTAGAAACGATTTACGCAACATTGTAGAAAAACATGATTTCGAAAAATACTACGGTTTATTTGCCAACAAACCACATTTATTTAAATTTGTTGTTGGGCATAGGCAAATTATTCTTAAACTAATTGAATTTGCCCAAGAGCAGATAACTAATGAATCCCACTTCGAATTAAAAGAAAAAAGAAAAGCAATGCAAAAAACTCGCGGAAAAGCTGTTCCCTCGACTTCAACCTGCTCATCTGCTATAAAACTAGAAAATGTTGGGGAACACAGTCGTCATGATTCTAGTGGCTCACGAACTCGGACTGAGTCTGTTTCTTTAACAGAAGAAAATGCTGCAATATGGAGTACCTTAAAAAGTTGGACAAAAAGTAAGACTACCGGTGCTTTATGGGATAAGTTGTCCAAAGAATTTGACAATTTAATTGTTGCTGTCACCACAGATACATATAATGAGTTGTTTTGTAAAATTACTTGTTTCTGTGGGGTAAAAGTAAAAATTACAAAATTATCCAAGGGTATTTCATCTAATAAGCGATGGATTTATTCCAATTTTCATAAGCATTTGAAAAAACATATAGAGCCTAGTCCTGAAAAAAACAACGCACCAAAAAAACTTGGAAAACAAATGAAAAATCTGCCTATTACATCATTTTTAACGGAACCTGTTCCCAAAAGAAGCAAAATAAACGTAATTCAAAATATTACTATTCCCTCGACTATTCCTTCCACTTCAGTTAGTTCGCCTATAAAGGATTTTTCACTGACCAATTGTTACCCTACAGAATTAAACAACATTTATTTAGAAACAGAAAACTGCACGTTAAAAATGGGTTCTCTTGGTGAAGACTTGATGGAGATTAATCAATCTGATCATAAATCAAGCCAGCCAGCTGAAGAATTAAAGTTGGGGAATTCTGAGACTTCTACAGTTCAGAATTTGATGGAGAATAATCATTCTGATCATAAATCAAGCCAGTCAGCTGAAGACTTAAAACTGAGTAATTCTGAGACTTCTACAGTTCAGAATTTGATGGAAATTAATCACTCTGATTATGAATCAACCCAACCAGCTGAAGACTTAAAACCGGGGAATTCCGAGACTTCAGATTATTTAAATAATCAAGCTTTATTAAAGGATTCGAAATGGATGAAAAAGAAATACCAAAGATTTGAACGAAATCGACGAGCTCGAGAAAAACACACTTCTGATCAGACTTTTATTACGGATTATTTTGTATTGGCTGAAAAAGTAAATCAAATTATTAGTGATAATTCTGGAGATGCAAATATATTTTTGGAACACGTTATCCAGGAAAATAACCTGTCCGAAGAAAAATCGAAATCAGTTAAACAAAAAACATATTCATTCCTTCAAAGATTATTAGAGTTGTCCTTACAGAATTCTAAAGGCCCTAAAAACCGGAACAATTATGACGAAGCAATAAAAAAATTCTCGTTGTATCTTTATTATACTGGAGGGAGATTATTATACGAGACAATCCACGCAAATTTGCAGAATTCTATACCTTCTATTTCTGCATTAAACAGATATATTTGTAGAGAACGTTCTCCAGTAGAAGAGGGATTTGTCGATTTCGAAGGTTTAAGTAGGTTCTTGGAAGAAAATAATCTCTCAAAAACAGTTTGGATATCAGAAGATGCTACGCGAATAACCGGAAAAATCCAGTATGACTCAAGAACAAATAAACTAATTGGATTTGTGTTGCCATTGAAAGACGGTGTTCCCCAAACTAATGCGTATATCGCGACCTCATACAATGCCATTCAGAAATATTTTCAAACAGGTGTTAAAGCTATGTATGTCTATGTAGTATTGGCTTTACCCCTTGGAAACAATTCTCCATCTTATTGTTTGAGCCTTTTCGGAACGGATAACAAATTTACAGGACAAGACGTCATTAAAAGATGGAAACACCTTAAAAAATTGGCTAAAGAATATGGAATTACAGTTGTAGGGTTTTCTTCCGATGGAGACACTCGACTTTTAAAAAGTATGCGTCAAAATTGTTGTCTTCCTCTAGGTGACCAAGATGTGCAAGAATGGGAATGGTTTAGAATGGACCTGAAGAAAGTTGACGAATGCTTTTTACAAGATACAGTTCATATATTAACAAAGATGCGAACACGATTTTTAAAGCCAAAGATTGTTTTACCTGTAGGAAAATATTTTATTACTGTTGATCATCTTTACCAACTTATAAAACTTGAAAAGAAGGATAAACATATGCTTACATTATCAGATTTGAAATCTGAGGACAAAATGAACTTCTTATCCGCTAAAAAAATTTGTTCTGATGCTGTAACTACAAATCTAAAATCCCAAATTCCAGACAGTAATGGAACCGTTGCCTATTTAAAACTAATGAATTTTATTTTAACATCATTTTTGGACAATAAGTTAGATCTAAAGGCACGTTTGCACAGAATATGGTACTGCGTATTTTTTCTTCGTATATGGAGATCTTGGATCAAAGCCAGCAAAAAATATACTATCAAAGACAACTTTTTAACTAGCAATTGCTATCTTTGCATAGAATTAAACGCTCATAATTTAATAAAACTTATCTTGAAATGCAGAGATCCTTCTAATACGTTTACGCCTGGTATGTTCGATTTATCTAATATGAATAGTCAGAACTGTGAACAATTATTTCGTGCAGCCCGATCAATGACGTCGACGTTTTCTACAGTAATAAATTTCAGTGTTAAAGATTTTATGCATCGGATTGATAGAATCGAAGCTATCAATTCTATAAAAAACAATTTGAAAGGCCAATTTGTTTTTCCTAGAGAAGAGAAAAAAGCTATTCATAACACGGTAACACTCAATGAGTCCAAATTTTTAGAACTGGATATTGAAGAAACAGTTATACAAGCTTTAAATGATGCTATACGTGATGTAAAGGATATTGGAATTATTTTCGAATCCGATGAATGGAAATATATTGACATGCCAGTTTATAACCTTGAGAATATTGATCTCGATATTAATGATTTAGACGAACAAGAAATAGAAATAGATGATGGAGAAGTACAAATTGAAGACCAGAATTCGTTTCAGAACCTTAATGTTGATAATTTTGCTGATTTTTCTTTAGAATCTGATGACAAGCCGGAAGAAGAAATTGATGATCTACAACTAAAAGACTACTCAAATAAGGTATTCGAATTAACCGAAGATTCACCGTTTGTCGAAGTAAAATTAACAAATAAAAAAACAAAAATTCTTAAAAAGTCATCTTTATGCTGGTTTTTCGATGAGCATTCCAGTCGAGTTAGTACTGACAGATTAAGAAGATTCTTTGCAAATCGTGGAAAGGCAAGCAAAAATATAAAAAACAAAATATCAAATAAAAACTCTCGAAAAAACTCAAAAACTAAAACAGTAAAAACTAAAACATATGAAAATGCCACATCATCTAATGATTCTGATGAACCCTTGTACGACGATTCGACGGATACAGAATGCTTTTCAAATGATTCAGACTCTCCAGAGAATAGTTCATTAAAGAAAAAAATCTCATTAACAATTGTACTAGAAAAATACTATGCGGTATTTTATGAACAGAAATGGTACATAGGTAGAGTAATTAAAGAGAGATCAACAGATACATACACAATGAAATTTCTTAAGTATGAACTGAATTACTTTGTGTGGCCGAAGTCTGAGGATGTGGCTATTGTGAGCCAACAATATATATTTTACGGACCTATAGATTTAATTGGAAGTGGTCCTTTCCAGTTAAAACGGAACGATTTTTTAAAAATCTCTAAAATGTATAAAACCATGAAAAGACCTTTATTTTATGACTAGTTTTTTTAATATATTTTATTTTGAGAAAGATATGTTTTTGTTATTTTATTCTTAATTTTATTAATTTATTTTTATTTAATAAAAATTACTCATTAAGTTTTTTGTATTTGTCACCTATTTTTTTATAAAAAGAAAGTAATTCAATGCTAGTTGCAAGCTATATCATAGCTAGATATTTTCAATCTCGATTTCAATTTATAAACAAGTAACGGGTGATTCATTTAGACCTTTTTTTTTAAATTCTAAATAAAATGCATTAAATGGAATTGGATGGCGGAATCTTTATTATGACCTGAAAGAACAATCTTTGACATTTATTTTTTGAAAATAATTTCATTTAAATGCTGTCCGGGACTACGGCGTACGTGGTCCTTTCGGAAGATTCAATTTTCGATCACTCTTTCTAGCATTGCGACCGGTATCTGCCCAATGAGGCGAGTAATGTTGGCTTCTTAGTCCTGAATCGTAGCTGGATTATAGACGAAGACTTTTGATTTAACAAGACGGAGCTGCGGCACACACAGCCCGCGAAACAATAGCTTTATTGAGAAATCATTACTCGAGTAATTGGGCAGATACCGGTCGCAATGCTAGAAAGAGTGGAAAATTGGACCTTCCGAATGGACCACGCTGTACGCGGCCAGCATTTAAATGAAATTATTTAAAAAAAAATAAATGTCAAAGATCGTTCTTTTAGGTCATAATAAAGATTCCGCCATCCAACTCTATTTTATGCGTTTTATATAGAATTAAAAAAAAAAAGGTCTAAATGAATCACCCTTTATCTATTGGAGCAAGAACAAATTTTGAGGAATTGCAGGAAGTAAGATCAGAAGGACGAAAAGTACAAGGAAGTACTAGGAAGTATGAGGAAGTAGTGGGAAGTATGAGGAAGTACTGGAAAGTATGAGGAAGTATGGCGAATTACTGGGAAGTACGAAATTTTTTGGGAAGTACGAAAAATTTCTGGGAAGTACGAGGAAGTATTGATGTTTAGAGGAAGTAGTGTACAAGATTTCTGGCAGCGGTTTACCCCTCGGTTTATTTATTATAGGTATTTTATACTAGTTAAATTTACTGATTAGTCTTTCTTTTATTTTTCATGTACGTTAAATGTATTTGATGTGAGCTTTGATGGAGTTAGTTATGGTGTATCTGAGCAGGGACGGACTTAGGCCGAAGGACAGTTGTGAACAGGGGCGTACTCAACTTAAAAGAATAACAGGGATGTTAAAAGTTTGACAAGCTGTCCAACGTCATTTGCCAACCTTTTAAAGGGGCGTCTGTAATGGTTCAGTACTTTAATACGTTTTACAAATTTATTTTTGAATTAGTTTGGAATTTTAAATTGTGTTGTAAAATGTAAAAATCGTTGCAACTTAGGTAAAAAAACGGTTAGGTAAAGAAATTACAAAGTTTCGTGAAAGACCGGAATTTTGCCTGAAATGGGAAAAAATCTGTTGGCCAGATGAGGCGAAAACAACATCGAAACTGGGAGAGGGAAGCAAAGAAAGAGGCAGAAAGTTTTCCGAAGTGTGAGAGAACGCATCGTTTTCGTAAATCTTTGCTAAAACCACAATTATTGTAAAATTCTGTGTAAACAATTGTTACAAGTGTTTGTGTATTCTTCCAGGTTAGTTCTTAATTTGAGTAGCCCAATTCTGTAGTAAAGTCCACTAAACGTAGAACGATTTTGATTTAAATAAACTGAGCATTAGTTATTTTGCACTACTACGTTTAGTGAATTTTACTCGATATTAACACCTTTTGTTTTAGCTATTTTTATAGAATGTTTTTACCTTTTAAGTTTACTGCTAAATGTAAAAATTTATATTCCTTTCTTTTATTGTCTTAGGCTTAATTTAGTTGTATACTACTCAAATGTTTAGACCTTCCCTCAACACGATTATGGAATTTTTGCGGTAATTTTAAAACAAATATCAGTGTAATACAGGACGTTTCGTTGCTTAAAAGGGAGTATTGACCGTTAATTTTAAACTTTGAATGCTCCTTTTTCTTTAGTACGTAGTTTGCAGTAGATACTAAAATACTCTCCTCCGTGAGGGATAACTGGTCACCTAGGTTCTCTATGTGGCATCGCAACTTTTATCCCGAAACTGCATCTTTACGCGAGTTGTTTCCAGTGCGGACCTCATTCTCCCCAGGGCAACGTTAACGTTGACAGACTAACAGTTAACTGCCCTGTTAAACTAACAAAGTTTTTCCTATTTTTTTTGAACCCGTAGGGGTAGATAGTGTAACGAGCGTCGTGTCATTCCATTGATTTGCATAAACTTTTAAAGAAACAATGCCTAATCGTGTAATCCTTTGCTACTTCATAGCCGAACAGGGTTTTTTCTCAATCTCTTTTTCCCTGGTCGTATCTCCCTAAGAGCCAGTTTTTTTTTAACTGTTTTTAAAGTAAATTAAATTGGGGTAAACAAAACACTGTATTTTATTTTTTTGTATACCTAATTTTCCCAAGTATGATTTTTAAAGCAATGTATTTAATAAAACAAGTAACAAGTAACCACAACGTAGAGATCCAAATTTTGATAAGACGATCACGAGCCATAGTCACAAAATAGTTCATTTATTAATTTTTTTATAAAACTTGTTTTAACGAACCTGGTGTAAGGAGAAATCTTTACAGTACCAAGAGGCTTTGTTACGATTTCGGTACTCAGGTGGCGTTGCTGGTTTCGTTTCCATACCCGGTGTTTCGGTTCTGCTTATAGTTTTGCTACTTTTGTTACCTAGTGTCGTTACTCTTCTGGTACTTGTTGGGAACGACTTTTAACGTTCTGTTTCTGATTATGTTTTAATCTTTTTATGTTACTCGGAACGATAACGCCAGAAACGGAGTTAGACGAGGTTTTGTTACAAGTCCCTGCTTATAACAGTTAACTTAAATTTATCACGCGTCGGGGTCCTGGGGCCCCTTATGGACAATTTATAAGGGCCCACCGGGAAACTCCCGGTCGCCCGGTGGGCCAGCACGCGCCTGCCCCCCCCAGGATCCACAAGCATTAGATACAATTCCACCCTTAAGTGACGACATGCGTAAAGTAATTGGTCTAAAACAGGAAATACAGATTCTATACACATTTCGCAAATTGTATAAAAAGTACGATTCATTTATCACTTAACACTAGTCCAGTTTAATAGTCGAAAATATCGAAGACACAGTCCAATAAAAATGCATTGCCTTTAAATATCATTAAATTTAACGCAAATATTTAGGTAACTTCCCTTAAAATTTTATTTGATTTCGATTGAATACAAAATGCAATGTAGACTACAATCCAAAATTTTTGAATAATTAATATGGAGAAAAACTACAGGAAAAGCAAAGGCTTTCGGTAAAAGAATTCGAAAAAGCTTTAAGCTTCCAAAGACTAGAGTGGGGGCAGAACCGAAAGATCAAAAAAAGTGAAAATGTAAATATATTTTAATCTAATAAAACAATTTTTTCTACTGGCATTTATTATTGGTTAAAAAATTCACAAATTTGTGGAAATGAGGAACTAGTAGGGCGCTAGCTAGCGCCCTACTAGTTCCTCATTTAAATTTCTACTAGGGCCCGTTGCACAGTGCGGGCAAAAATAAGGTTTTTGGACAAAAATCAATATTTTAATTGTTTTTCAAAAAAAAAATGCTTTTTTCATAGTGTATATGGTAAATTGGAGTGTAAAGGTTAAAAAATAAGTAAAACTTTTTAATATGTCGTTTTATTAAAAATATTCAAAAATAATTACAAAAATAAATTAAGAACAGTATCTTTAAATAAACATAAATTTACTTTTGTGTTCAAAGTTAAACTAAATTTTATTCTTGTTTTTTTTTTGTTTAGGTTATGTCACTATATCAATAAAAACATAATATTTTTAAAATAAAAAAGTATTTTTCAATATAAAAATCTTGTGCGATATGCAAGGTGTAAATAAAAATAAAAATAAAAATTCTAAACAAAAATTAAACAATTTTTTTAATCACTGCTTTCGTCAGATGATAATTCAAAGTCGGTTTCATCTGCACTTAATAAAATTTCCGATCCTTGCAAGAAGGAGTTATTCCTTTTTATAAGATATTTTTATATCCCCTCAAAACTATGGGGCTCTCTTTTAGGAATCTTTCTGTTCATAGAAATTAAGGGATCAGACGAAAGCAGATGAATGGTAATTAAATCTATATTTGTATTTAATTTTTTTTTGATTGTGGGACAAAATAATATGTGCAACTCGTGAAGAATAGTAAATTATAAACTCGCATTCTTGCCCCGCTCGCTACGCTCGCGTGCCAAATAAATTCTTATTTATAAATTATAATCGACTATTTTCTTCACTTTTGCACAATATACTATTTTAAACCCCAAAATATGAAAATCAGACGTTTTTACTTTATTTTATTATAATAAAAAGTAGTAATGTACATACCTTTGCCACTAATTTTCATTGGACAAAAACATTCGCTTGCTATAACACACATCACCCGTAGTAGCAGCTAGTAGCAAAAAATATTTATGCCACCTTTTTGCCAAATAATTGGACTAATATTTAGGGTTCTTGCCAATCTGTGCAAAGTTATGCATTTTTTTTAAACCTTAGTAAAAGTTATAATAATTTATTTTTGTAAGCATATCAGTTTTAATTAAATTATTTAAAAAAAACTGCATTTGAATTTTACAAAATTTTATTCAAACAAATAATGCAAGTCCATACCACTGTAATACTTAAAGAAAAAATGTTCTATAATAAAATGCAGAACCAGTGAAATTAATTTTATACGATTTTATCTAAATGTTTTAACATTACGACTTATTATTTTGTCCATTTTTGAAAGTGCGACTTAAAAATAGTTTATGATTATGGGTAAACTGAACTTTTATTTATACTTTTGCAATATTAAAACATTACAAATTCACACTCCCTTTTTCGTCCACCGTAGTCCGCACTGTGCGTAGTCCCAGTGCTGGATTAACCTATAGGCCAACCTAGGCC